AAAGCATCTAAGATAGCAATAAAGGCTGTTATTAAGCTATCACCTTCAATGTCAGCATGGATGTTAAAATCCCTTACTATGATGACCCTGTAAATATTTAACACCAAATCAGAGAGGAACTCTGAAAATTCATCTAAAAATTCAGAGTAAGGACCTGATGGATAATACGAAGTTACAAAAAGAAGATGTTTTCGTACTTTGCAATTTGGATCAGGGGAACTAAGGGTTAAATGTTCAAAAGAGTTGTAATTATTAACTCCCTTTGGAGTAATCAGTAAGTCAGACTGAAAGACTGCTGCCACTCCTCCTGCTCGCCCAGAACGTCTGGGTATGTGCAAATTTAAATAACTAGAAGGAGTTGCCTCATATAATCTCACATAATCCTCTTGCTGCAGCCAAGTTTCTGTAAGGCAACACAAATTAATGTGATTATCAAAAATCAAGTCATTAACTAGCAGACTTTTTGAGGAAAGAGATCTTATGTTAAATAACACCACATTTAATCGTTTTAACTTATTATTATTAATTTATTTTTATTTTAATTAGAATAGGTTATCATGATTTACCTCTTTGGGAGTCTTTTCTAATTTATTAGATTTTGATAGTGGGCAAGACACTGTCTGGATGGAGGAAGGAGCAGGTAACAGTAGAGAAGCTGAAGAGGTGTGTTAAACTATGACTCTGCTCCCTGGTCTGCACCCTGGGTTCTCAGGTTTTTGGAGGACTAATAAATTTGGCCACATTCCTAGAAAGTAGGGGTGGAACGGTTCACAAAATCCACGGCTTGGTTCAGTTCACGGTTTCGTGGTCAAGGTTTTCGGTTCAGTTCGGTATATTTTTATTGTTACACCGAAAAATAAAAAAAATTATGAAAAATTATAAAAATTAATAACGAATTAATGAAAAAAATCCCCAAACAATTAATGAATTGTAATTATTTTTAATGATTCGCGGAAACCATGGATCATTTCCGCATGTTTTGCTGCTTTGATTTAATCATCTCGCGCATGCCCGCTACGATCTACAAGGAACTCAGAGCGGGGCGGACGGGAGTCAGTGGAGGCTGTAGGCTTTGCTTTGTGCAGGCGGTCTGGAGCGTAGCGGAGCGGAGTATGTGGGATTTCAGGGTTAGCATGACATGTTGGTCATGTTGCTGTTAGCATAAACAAAACGTGCTGCACAATGCTTGCACACTGTTGCACTTTTATCCACAACTTTCTTTCCGCCGTCATCGTAGGTCACTCTAAATGCAAAGCGGTCCCATACAGCAGACCTATAAAGTGCTGCTGGCGCGTCTTCCAACTCCTGTTCTTTCCCACTCGCCATACCCACACAATTCTCCATAACAACTGATTTTTTTCTGCTACACCCGGCTACGCTGCTTCGCTTCTTCTTCTTCTTGTTTACTACTAGTGGTTGGCTTTGGTCGCAGTACCGCCACCTTCTGCTCGGGAGTGTAAACGCTTCGCCTATGAGAAAAAGGAGCAGCGCATGAACCGAACAAAACACACGCGAACCGAACCGAGACAGTCGAACCGAACGGTTCGGACGGTTTTCATAAACCGGTCCATCCGTACTAGAAAGAAGAGCTGATCCATCCAAAGTGGGATGGGTGCCGTCTCTCTCAATCAAACCAGGCTTTCCCCAAAAGGATAGCAATTATTAATGTAGCACACATTATTTTCAGGACATATAAGCAAAGAATGTGTTCCCCTGGATATAATCTGAAATAAGATGAATAGTTGTCTTTTTTTAGTTGTTTAAGGCAGTCTGTGATTTTATTTTTGTTGGTGTTGTTTGGATCTCTTTTAAAAGATTGATACGTGTTGGTTTTATTCAGTAGAATGAGAATTTTGTCATGGTAGTCTGAAGTGTTGAGGACCATGGTGCATCTACCTTTGTCCTCTGGTAATATGGTGATGCTTTTGTTCTGGCTAAGAGATGTTCTGGCAAATTACAGTGGTTCGTTATCAACATTTTTTTGGAATGCCTATGACCTGGATGACTGAGAATTTTCACCAGATCTTTTAAGCTTTTAAGCTAGCTGTAATTAAAGATAAAGATATTAATTAAAAATTGTCTCTTGACCCAGATGACTTGGTCAATTATGGTCTATATTTAATCCTACTTTTTCATCTTAAATTGTGATTAAAAAAATAGTTGCCAAACAAATGTGTGACCACTTAAATCATTGTTACATTTTTTGAAGATTTTCAAACTGGTTTTAGAGCTCATCATAGCATTGAAACAGTTCTGGTGAAAGTCACTAATGATATTCTCATGGTCTCAGATGATGGTCTTGTATTTGTACATTTGTACAAAGTTAATAACAGGGCCTAATGTTGTCATAAATGAAGGTAGAGGGTCCCAAAGCCTGACCAGTTGAGAACCACTGGTTTAGTGGAAAGGAAATATAACTTGATGGGGAAAATATGAGGGCCTTGGACAATGGTGTAACAACACAACAATGGGCCCTTATGCAACATTACAGGTGCTGGTCATAAAATTAGAATATCATGAAAAAGTAGATTGATTTCAGTAATTCCATTTAAAAAGTGAAACTTGTATATTATATTCATACATTACATACAAACTCATATATTTCAGATGTTTATTTTGTTTAATTTTGATGATTACAAATGACAACAAATGAAAATCCCAAATTCATCATATCAGAAAATTAGAATATTACTGAAGACCAATAAAAACAAAGGATTTATAGAAATGTTGGCCAACTGAAAAGTATGAACATGAAAAGTATGAGCATGTACAGCACTCAGTATTTAGTTGGGCCTCCTTTGGCCTGTATTACTGCAGCAATGCGGCGTGGCATGGAGTCGATCAGTCTGTGGCACTGCTCAGGTGTTATGATAGCCCAGGTTGCTCTAATAGTGGCTTTTAGCTCTTCTGAATTGTTGGGTCTGGTGTATTGCATCTTCTTCTTCACAATACCCCATAGATTTTCTATGGGGTTAAGGTCAGGAGAGTTTGCTGGCCAATTAAGAACAGGGATACCATGGTCCTTCAACCAGGTACTGGTAGCTTTGGCACTGTGTGCAGGTGCCAAGTCCTGTTGGAAAATGAAATCTGCATCTCCAAAAAGTTGGTCAGCTGCAGGAAGCATGAAGTGCTCTAAAACTTCCTGGTATGTGGCTGCGTTGACCCTGGACCTCAGAAAACACAATGGACCAACACCAGCAGATGACATGGCACCCCAAACCATCACTGACTGTGGAAACTTTACACTGGACTTCAAGCAACGTGGATGAAGTGCCTCTCTTCTTTTCCTCCAGACTCTGGGACCTTGATTTCCAAAGGAAATGCAAAATTTACTTTCATCAGAGAACATGACTTTGGACCACTCACCAGCAGTCCAGTCCTGTTTCTCTTTAGCCCAGGCAAGACGCTTCTGATGCTGTCTGTGGTTCAAGAGTGGCTTGACACAAGGAATGCGACAGCAGAAACCCATGTCTTTCATACGTCTGTGTGTGGTGGTTCTTGAAGCACTCACTCCAGCTGCAGTCCACTCTTTGTGAATCTCCCCCACATTTTTGAATGGGTTTTGTTTCACAATCCTCTCCAGGGTGCGGTTATCTCTCTTGCTTGTACACTTTTTTCGACCACATCTTTTCCTTCCCTTCGCCTCTCTATTAATGTGCTTGGACACTGAGCTCTGTGAACAGCCAGCCTCTTTAGCGATGACCTTTTGTGTCTTGCCCTCCTTGTGCAAGGTGTCGATGGTCGTCTTTTGGACAACTGTCAAGTCAGCAGTCTTCCCCATGATTGTGTAGCCTATAGAACTAGACTGAAAGACCATTTAAAGGCTTTTGCAGGTGGTTTGAGTTAATTAGCTGATTAGAGTGTGGCACCAGGGGCCATCAATTTTGAACCTTTTCACAATATTCTAATTTTCTGATATGATGAATTTGAGATTTTCATTTGTTGTCATTTGTAATCATCAAAATTAAACAAAATAAACATCTGAAATATATAAGTTTGTATGTAATGTATGAATATAATATACAAGTTTCACTTTTTAAATGGAATTACTGAAATCAATCTACTTTTTCATGATATTCTAATTTTATGACCAGCACCTGTATCTAGGTGGCCCCCATATTAAGTGCAACCCCCCCACCACCACCTCCACTACCCCCACCCCTAACTTCCCTTTAGGGAAGTTTTCTCCATTCTTCCAGCATCTCTTCTTTGCTTTTTCTTTTCTGGAATCCGCTTAAGTGCTTCTTTTTTGTATCCATCGCACATTGTTTGTAACGGTTATGGTTTTAATCTACGCTCTGGATTACCCATAATTCCAAGTCGTATTGTAAAAAATAAAATACTAAAATACATCATTCTTTTAAGATCTTTATTGCGGTTTGAAACATATTATATGAGTGTATTTTTTTACCATCCATCTAATGAACTATACACAGTAATGAACTATAACATAGTAATTAAAAGTACCACTAGTCAACCTAGCATCAGGTCAGTTTAAGAGGAATTTTTCGCACCATTACATCTGCAGAGACGTCCTAGACCACAATTGCGTAGGGGGCCAACTAGGTGTCAGTTATGGGGCCCTAAGAGGTTGGGGGCCCCTAAGCAACTGCAGTCTCTGCTTACAGATAGTTACTCCATTGGCCTTGAAATGATCTGTTGAATAAAATGACGTTATTATACCACAATAAATAAATAATACATTGTTTTATAAGACCTATAGGGATTAATAAATTGTCACAATTCAAGAGCAACTGAATTGATCAGCCACAGAAGAAGGTCAAACATTTATTTATTTATTTATTTCAGCGTCTTGCCTTCCCTCCTGTCCGCTCTTTGCTATTTTTATCCCAGGCGGTACTGTTTCTGTTTCCCAGCCAGCCCAGAAAGGAGCAGAGGTGCGGGCCTCTCATCACACCCACCTCTCTCGTTCTCCCTCTCTCTACCTTTCTCTCTCGCTTTCCAAAAATAGCAGTGAGTCGTGATCGGCTCGTCCTTGAGAGAGAAGCAGCGAGAGGGAGGACTGTATTATTGCTTAGAATCAGAGGAGGGGTTATGGATTGATACAAATAGTCTCCCCCGCCAAGCCAACCCCAGCACAGCCTTGAATTAATGTGTTGCTATTTTTGGGAGCCCCGTGTTTCCAGGGGAGACCTAATGACGCAATGACGTCAATGCGGGTCAATCGCAGACTGGAGGAATTGAGTGGCTTCCATTTGGAGCTTTTGCAGTATTTCCTACAGAAAGGACGGAAAACGAGTGCAAAAATCGAAGTGTATTTCCTCCAAGAAAAGAAAAGAAAAGAAAAAAGCCTCGAAAATAGTAGGTAAAAATTAAAATGCAGAAATGAAAATTATCCCGGTGCCTTCACGTCGCCCCCTTCGAGCATCAACGATAGTAAAGGAGGTGTGTATACACGGATCATTTGTTTTAATATATATATATATCCCTTTTTCGCTGTCTCGCATCCAAGGGATGCTGTCTACCAAATACTAGACGAGTGGAGCAGCTACTATTTTTGTGAGCATTTGTTGTTTTGCTTGATCTGATGTAGAATTACCGCAGTAGCATCGGTTATTTGGCTTTTTCTTTGATTGTGTTGCTTTCCCCTGCATAGAGCGACACTCTAACACAAGCTATATCTTAATGAAATTTTGTTTTTTGCATTTTATTCTCTCTGTCTCTCTACACAGCCGTGACCTATTCCAGGCGCTCGCATCTAGAAGCACTGAGGTAATGAACACTTTCGCCCTTGTCTCCAATCTCATTAAATGTATCACTCAGCCTTCGCCTAATTATGCCTGTTGTGCGTAAGTTAGAGTTAATCCATAAAGAATGGTTCTTTACAGAAATTCGTTGATCGATTTTATATATTGAAGTGAGTAGAGGATTGGCTATTAAAGCTCAAGATTCTGCGCGTCATGGTTGTTTGCAGCTTGGCGACCTGCCGACGCGCACAACCAGACCGTCTCTGATAAGTGATTATTTATTTTTCAAAACTTTCACTATGAGAGTGTATAATTGCCTTCAAGTCGGGGACTTTATCAGGTGTCTGTTTCCTACTATTTATGAGCGCTATTTGTCCGTGGGTTGTAAGCAGCCTACAGCTTCTGACCAGGTGTAGGCAGGAGGAATTGACAGTGCAACTCCCTTCTGCAAGAAAACCCCCAAGAGAGATGCCTGAAGAAAGGAAATATTTTATTTTTGTGGCTTGCAAACACATGCACAATGTCGCGACGGGAGGTGGGAGTGAGGGGCTTGGGGGAGTGGGGTTCTCAGGGCGTTTACCGGCAGGATGTGGCGTGTATGTGCATCAGCGTGTGTAAAAGGCTTTCAGGACCACGGACAGCTCACGTGAAGCTGCTAAAGGGGTCCACGTTAATTCTGTCCAAACATATTCTCGCGTTACACACAGTCCAGGGGACTGTATATGGCCTCGCATGCATAAATAATGTTGTTTTTGTAAAAAAAATAAATAAAATAAAATAAAACAAATAAATACAAATTTTAATTGAGAAGCTTTAACACAAGATTATTTTTTTTTACCAACAGGCTTCAGATTTTGGATTAAATCTAGAAGTGCAATAGATAGTTTCAGAAATTGTGCTTAAAATTGATATGAGTTATAATATTGGAAATACATTTATCCTTAAAATTAAATGTGTTTAGGTGCATATACTTTTTATTCCATGCCAGGTTACAATCCTAATGTATAATAAGTTATGACGGCTAGATTCCAGAAAGATTTTTAACATCTCTTGTATTAATAATTTCAATTGATTCAACCAAAAAATTGAGGAATCTGTATTATAGATATTCCACAGTTATTATGAACAGAGCAAGCATCTTAAATGCATCCTTGCAACCCCATGAACCCAACATTTACCTCATATGCCCAGTGTCCATTACAAAATTATACAGAAACAGTTTGAGGCTATCCTCTCATTTAAGGCTGGAAAAAATATCATCTCAATATCAATGTGGATAATGTGAATCCCGACTGACCATTCTCAAAGCAATATGTGTTTGATACAAATGTTATGGATTCATACTTTGCATGCCAATAATGTATTCTTTTTGATCAATAGGGATTATCCATAGATTGTGTTCACATCTGACACAAATAACCATGCCCAAGATTTCAAATGCCACAGATTGTTGGGAGTATTTCTCAAGACAAACAGTAAAGAGTACAGTAAAAAAGAAAATTATCATAACTTATTTGATCATTTCAATAATTTGCAATTATTTTGAAATCACAGGATTTTGTTATATCATGCAGCCCAACTTCCTTGATTTTGATTCAAGGTGATGTGATCAAATTATGAGCTTGTGTAGATTTTCACTTCTCTAGCACAGGACAATCCTTATTATTTAAGTCAAGGTTCAGAACTAAAGGAGTCTTTTGAGTATTGGAAGAGACGTCTCAAAGAAACAAGGAGAGATTCCAGAGACTATCTACCTTATCTTTCTGGAGTTTGTTCATATGTTACGTAATATAAGCATTGTGTAGTCTTTCTCATGTTGATTTTAATCAATAGAAAACAGAATCATTTAAAACAGCACTTGAAATGAATTCAAATTTTTAAAGAGGTTAAGATTATGTTAACTGTTTTATTTTTAATTAAAACTTTGTTTTTCTGTTTTAAGCAGAAAAACACATGAAAGAGGCTATTTGCTTTAGATAGTATTGAAGTAATTGATAAGCAATCAATAACTTTTAGAATTGATATGAACTTAGAGCCCAGTTTTTGGGGAACATAAGTGTGAAAATGTATGCTACTATTTATAAATCAGAAAAGAATGGACACATAAAATAGGTACACGCCTTTTACTTGCCCTAATCTGCAAGACATTTTTAAATCTTTTTTTCTCTTATCTTTAATGGCAAAAAAAACAACTGAGCAGATAATTTTACATTGAATTTGCCCTTAAGTTCAGTATCAGCCTTATCCAAAAGGTGTGTCCACATAGAAAAGGAATTTGACTTTGGGTCCACTTTTTAATCCATTGAAGATATTATAAAAGAGTAAGGTATTAAGTTAAATTCCATGGCACATTTCATATGTCTGAAAGCTCATGAATTTGTACCTGTGTGTGTTGCAGATGCTGGTCCAATACTTTGATGATGATAACCATGAATGTTCTGAGGAATCATATTCTTTTCAGGTCTTTTTGCGGTCTGGGCTTGCTGTCGGATGCCTATCCAGGAAGCCCTTACCCCAAAAAGCATCTGCAAGGGATACTTACAACAGCAGATTCTTGCTCATGTTGATGTTTAAGCAAACAATGAAAGTGGCTGCATTTGTAAAACTGTAACTTTTTCTCTTTCCTTATTAAAGTTAAGCACTGTGTGTTGAATAAAGCATAAACTTCAACAAAAAAAGGAAAAAAGTAATTTTTCAAAACACTGCACTAAAATCCCTGATCTGCAAGTTTAAATGAAACATTTTTTTCTTCAGGAGAATAATTTCTTCAGTGATAAATGTGTGTACAAAATTTCATAGTTTATCCAGAGGGTGGCAGCATTACTAAAGGTTGTTCAATGTTTATTCCACCAGTAGCATGTGTGTTGTTAAAACTAAATGAGACAATTCCGTACATCACTAATGCAGATATAGTGTAGATATATTATAAGTAGATTTTTATTAAACAACCCAGCAATATTGAACATCCTTAGGAAACAAGCTCATCCAATCATTGTTTAAAATATAAAGGTTTGATTTCAGTCAGACTCACATCGAGTTATAGATCGGTGCGCCAATCTGAGAGAATCAAAGCATATTAAAGGATCCTCAGAGAATCATGTTTACAGTTCCTTCTTATACACCTTAAAGAGCACAAACACACACAAGCTCCTCAGCTTGTTGTTACAACTGGTTCTTAGTATTAAAACCATGCCTTTTTGATCACTTTAGTGTAAAAACCTCGCTTAGATATTTGCTCCAGTCCAAAACTGAACCTTGGAGAATACAGTGGTGTCACTAGACCTATTTTAGGTGGGCTGATGCCGTCCTTTAAAAGTTAAAATGTTACCCCCTTGGTGTTCTTTTAAAGACCCCAGGAATTAATATGAAGAAAAAATATTATAAAATAGTAATTTGTTCCCACTAAATACTAATTCCATCTTTAAAAATTCCCTTTAGAGTCTAATGCCATTCATTTCTCCCTCTGCATTCATCCTTGTGCACTGACATTTTATTCCACAAACACCTGCTGAGTAGCCCATCACATTTTCACAGACTACTGGTACTGGAAAATCATCAGATCACCAGTTTTTTTTTCATAGTGAGCAGTGAGGCCCAGAGCTTAAGGGGTGGGCCTATAGGCTTAAAATCTATCACTGGTTGAAAGAGTGGAGTCTATATGCATCCATCCAGACCAAAAACAAAGCATCTCATCACCCAGTCTGCATTTGGCATGTGTAAATATGCCCTTTGAGGTTCCCTTCCTTACAGAAGTGTAACAAAGGAATAATGATCTCTCGTCAAGTCAAAGCCAAGGATCTCTGCTGCTATGAAAGATGAAGCCAAAGGTTACATATTTAACAGTACAAATGAGTAAGAGAACAGAAACAAACAGATACAAATCAGCAGCCGGATCAGCGTAGTGAGGCGTAGTGACGCAACATAACAAGCCCTGCGTGGGTAAAGCGCTGCTGCAATTGGAAATATACTTTAACCACTTGAGGTTTAATCAAACTCAGCTCTAGTTAATGATCAAAAGTCACTCTGTGGTTTTTGAGGTTACAAATCATCTTAGAAGACAGGTCATGGTATTTTTTCTGTCCTTTTAAAGCTGTTAACTCTAAAAGAGAAGGTCCTTTGTCATTTCTTTCTCCTCTCTCTGCTTCATCACATGGTGATCATGGCTGCCCCACTGTTACAAACTGCAGCTTAAGGATGCGCATAATACTACGAGACAAGTAATGAATGTACTTATTTGCTGCTTATTTGGATCACTCTGCACTATGTTCACATATGTTCATCCACCAGATGAACATATGTGCATCCTCTGCTCCTTCAGTCGAAACTTGAGCTGAAACGTTGAAGAGACATTATGTAGGTTTTTAATAAAAAATATCTTAAAAATAGTCTTTATATTTGTTCATTTACAACTGAAAAATCCTTTGATGAGCAGACTTACACCTCAGTATTTCAGCGCCGATGTATGTATTATAGCTTGTCGCCAATTTTCTCAGAATTTTAACTTCGGTTCCGGAAATTCTGCACTGTACTGTGGATGTGACGTCAATCGCGTCCATCCATCCATGTGCAGACCATGTCTGACCTAGAAAACAATCGCAGTGGAGGACTTCAGGAAGAAGGATTCTCCTGCAGGAGCATTTTGGTTGGAGACGTCTTTCTCACACGTCTTTCTCTCTCCTGTCCTGGGTCGTGAGTAGCAAAGAAATACGAAGCATTCTTGTGGGATGGAAGGGGGAAATAGTGAACACGAAAATATTAGAATAAAGTAGAATCAAAAAATGAGAAAAAGCAGAGACCATTTGAAGGGGAGTCCAGCACAGAAGAATCAAATGATGAACAACCTAGAAATTCCACTGAAAAACAAAATAATTACAATGTCATATTCAAACTAGTTAATCGGGGAGACTTTGCAGATTGGAACCCGGTGCAGTTAACAAAAAACGATGTAGGAGTAAACAAACTTGTAGGAGAAGTTAGAAGTGCCAAAATACTGTATAGTGGAGACTTGTTAATCAACTGCGGAGACAGCGCTCAACAAGGCAAAGCTATATGCATTAACAAGAATGAAGGGAAAAGAGTTCAGTGCAGCTTGCTGGATAACAAGGGTAGTCATTGGAAGAGTGCCTCTTAAAGTAACTGACAAACAGATTCTAGAAAATATAAGTGGTGCAAAAGTAAAAGAGTTGTAATGGTTAGTGTTAATCAAATTGGAAGAAGAGCATTTACCGTGTACGGTTTTAATTGGATATATGAGCTACAATGTGAAAATGTACAATTCTCCACCTCTGAGACATTTTAAATGCCTAACCTTCGGTCATATAGCAGCTGTATGTAAAGGAAAAAAATCGATGTGGAAGATGTGCTAGAGAGCATGCATATGGAAACTGTGGGAAAGAAGTAAATATTAAATGCTATAACTGTGGCGGAGAACATACTGCTGCATACTGTGGATGTGAAGTGAACAAAAGATCTGTACAGATACGAAAAGTGAAATTAGGGCTCAGAATAACTTATGCTGAAGCTGAGAAAAGAATCACGTCCCAGTCAGAAAGACCCAAATCAAAAGTGGCGAAATGACAAGTGCGAAACCTTTGGAGGAGTGTCCCAAAATTGCAGAAGACTCGTTAATAATTAAAAAAAAAAAAAAAAAAAAGGATTTTGTACTTTTCATTGTAGAAGTGATCGATTGTGGTGCTCAGAAGAAAACTGAAAAAATCAAAATAATAGGGAGAGAGTACAGAAAAGTGAAGGGTGTAGAAAAGTACATTGAAGATTTAAACTGGGAAACAGTTGAAAGTATGATGGGAAAACAAGTAGGACCATTAGCAACTGGCAGAGTGACCATAACTTAAAGAGAAATTAGAAATTATGAGGATACATTTGATTAAGTATTTGTCATTTATTATGTTGGGTTGAATTAATTAGTTCTGACTTTGTTTTATTATTTATTTACTTTTTTTCAAGGGATGAGTATTGATTCCTGTTTCCAAGTTTAACTCCTTATCAGTTGGTGGCGGTAAGCACTTTTATAGGTTTACCAACTGCCATAAAACACTACAAGATGAAGAAAAAACAATCGCAGCGTTATATGATGGATGTTGTGAATGCTCAGAAGCAACTGGCATCCAGCTCAACTCAGACACCAATGGCGAACAAAATTCGGAGGAACAAATTAACAAGTGTTGCGGTCACAAATTGCCATTACATTGGAACGAATAGGTATTTAATTTCATATGTATATATATATACATATTATATATTATATAATATTTTTATTTTATTTACTTTGTTTTTGAGCCTGAAGTATTTCATTGAGCCTTATTTATTAATTTATTTATTTATTTTTACAAATAACTGTTTTAACTGACAAGTCCTAACTGGTATTGTCAAAATATGGGTTTGGGTAAATAAAAACATAACCTTTCATTATTACTTAACTATGATTATACATTTGTAAGTTTACATAATAGTGTTTAAGTAGAGAGTTCCATCAGTGAGTTAATTACACTTGCTCCAATTTGCAGGCTTCACTAGAAATGCAGGCCGCGTTTTCACTGCAACCTTGCTTATAGCCAGGCACATAGCTGGGCTGTCTGCACAGCAGAGATAATTTTGTATTATTTAATACTACTGGTTGTAACACTTAGTTATTCCCATCTAAAAACATTTAGTCCCATTTAATCAATGAACCAAGCTCCTCCTGTTTACAAGAAAAAAAACTGTATTTCTCCCCTATGAGAGACGTTTCAAATCAGAACACTGTTACTGAGCCGCTAATTAGTCTAAAATCATGGTGAATGACCATGTTGTTCATAAAGTAAAGCGTGCATAGACTTTCTTTTTGAGTGGACTTCATGCTCGAGCTTCAGCAGGATAGTGAGACGATTAATGTCAGGGTATTGTCAGTGCAGATGATAACATTAGTAGAGCTAATAATACTACACAAATTTTGATCAAATCCCAGTGGACCTACAGGGGTCATTACAGAGGAGCAAAGAGGGTCAGGCAAGCAAGGATCACATACCTGCAAGGGTCTTATGAGTAGTAGCTTAGTCTGAAAATAGTAAGGATATTCATAGAAGATTCATCTAAATTTTTTTGTATTTATTTCATTTTATTTTTGAGAATTTTTTACATTGTGAAATTAAGCTTTTTCACTTTTTCATAAAAAAAAAAACGATTTAATACCGTACTGTAAAAGTAGGGTATTTTTCTCTGAATATTTTTTAGCCTACTGAAATGGTGCTTTGTAGAGAATTATACTAGATGACATTTTAAATGCAGCATATTTAATCAAAGTTATCACAAAATTATTTTATGTTCTATTATTTTAAAATGTTGAAAAAATATTAAGAAAAAAGGAGAGTAATGTGAGGTGAGTAAAATCCTGCCTGGGTAATCCTTATGATTGTTTTAATATTGGTCAATGGTAAATTGCAACTATTAAAAACAAAAAAAAAGAAAAAAACATTTATATCAAGTAGTCCATTGTATCCCTCTGTGCCTCTGGAGGAGCTCTGAGGGCCAAAAAGGTTGATGACCATATTGCAGATGAAGAGGCTGAGGGGCAAACAGATCAACAAACATACTTACTTTGTCTGTTGTGTATTGTGTAAAAAATCTAAAAGCTGTTCAAATAATATATTCAGTAAA